TTTTAAAATACCAGCAACTTGATTTTTTTTTCTATATCCCATAAATAGCAAGGAATTTTGCTTTGCAGCCAGGGTTCTCTCAGTACCTTTCACGTCACTCTTAATCAGCAAACTTTTGTCAGGGAACGCATTCTGCCTGTTTTCTGGGTTGGCAGAAAATATCATCCCATTACTTTCTGTTGCTGTCACTAAAGGTACTTAAGGAATGGGAAATTTGGGAGAGGGCATTTGAGGGTAACTGTATGAGGCTTCTACATATGGAATGGAACACATCAACACTGTCACAAACCATACACTTCAACCGAATTTATCACATGGGAGGGAAGCGCATTTAAACCTGTAAATATCCCACAAGAACGGGATGATTTTCAGACAATGTCCCCAATGCCGCCATTATCCCACAATTAACCTGTGAATAAAGCAGCAAAATTGCAGCACGTTTTATTCACAGGGAAATTTTGAAAATAAAAAGCGGTGCAATTTTGCTGCTTTATTCACAGGTTAACTGCAGGACAATTGCGACATTGGGGACGTCATCTGAAAATCATCCTGCTCTTGTGGGATATTGATGGGTTTAAATGCACTTTATTCATGGAATTGCCTCCTGTGTGATAAAATTGTAAGAAGAGGAGGTAGTGTGGAGGGAGGAGGCTCAAATGAAGATTCAGCATTATCAAAAGTGAACACTCCATCTGTGAAAAATTCTTGGTATGGAAGATTGCAGTAACCTGACCTTGCACAACCTATTATTCTCAAGATGTATTTGAATACAGTTTCTGTTATCACAACCAGCACTGCTGGGGGCTGCAGTCCAACACATTGGGAAACTCCAGATTGGGGAGGGGGAGAGTAATTCTGATGTAAGAATGGGGCTGTATCTACACTGCAAAATTGATGCAGTTTGACACTACTTTAACAGCTATGGAATTCTAGGATTTGTAGTTTTAGATATTTAGCTTTCTCTGTCAGAGAGCTCTGGTGCCACAACAAACTACAAATCCCAGGATTCTATAGGATGGAGCCATAACAGTTAAAGCCATATCAAACTACATTAATTCAGCACTGTACCAGCAAAGGAGAGCAGCAAAAGTGACCTGGATTGACACTGATTTAATCAAGGCCCTCCCTCCACTCCATCCGACGTCATCTTGGTTGGAGATGCAGGCCCATCTCCATCGGGCCTAGCCTAAGTGGGAGGGAAAATGTTGTTTTATGTTATATGTAATTTTTATGCTGTAAACCGCCCGGATTGGACTACCAATGGGCGGTATAAAAATAAATGTATTATTAAGGGCAGCTCCTGAAATTAAGAAGGTGATTCTCAACACTGCTTGCTGCACAAATAAAATAAAATAAAATAAAATAAAGCAGGTACAGCAAATTGTCACAATCTGTCAGATATCTATGACAATGCCTCAGATTGAAACAACACATTAAATTATCACTGGAGAATTTTCCTTCATTTTTTTTTCAGGATAAAGTTAGATCTGTCTGAACTTCTAACTAGAGCAACCATCATTCACAAGTAATATGTTTCCTGCTTTTCCCACAGACAGTACATTTCTTAGCACTGACTTGCCTTGTTCTTTTAGGACCCTTCCAAACTGATCTAAACAAGTATGAGTTTGCACAGTAAAGCTCTTTCAGTTTTACCAGCTGTTATCACAATGGCCACTAATTCCATTTGGGGGGAGGCTACTTGTAGCAATTTCTTGGAATAATAGTAGGGCTCTTCCAAAGATTTTTTTAAATAAAATAAAATAGGGGTGTGGTTTGTTGCAATCTTATGGTTTGAAGGGCAAATGTCCTCCTCCTTTTTAATATTTTTTTCCAAGTCTTACTGTATTATGTAATGTAATTGTACTGATTCCTGAGACACTACAACTTGAATTGTAAGCTGCCTTGAGTTCCAGTTTTGGGAGACTAGCACTACTACTGGCACTACTAATACTAAAACTGATGATGATGTTGATGATGATGATAATAATAATCTCTATTATTATTATTAAAAAAAGAAAAGTGGGGGCTTTTTTGTCTGATATGTCTCACAATTTAGAAACAACAAAACACTTGATGTTGGAGGGAAATGTTGCACCTAATGCTGGGAACTGACAGAAAATACTCTGTAGCAACAGAAATATAGTGGGCTTAGGGTTAGGGGCACGGGATCCCCATGAAAATGGAAAACTTGAAAATTAAAAAAACACTATTTTTTAACTGAGAGACCATCTTTCTAGGAATCTCTAGGTTCTCCAGTGAAACTCTATGGTCCACATCTGGACCATAAAGTCATACTGCAGGACCTACAAATGCCTAGAGAAGTTTTTTTCCTTAGGAATTTCTAGATCCTCCAGTGTGACTTTATGGACAACTTCCAGCAAAGTCACACTGGAGGACCTAGAGATTCCTAGAGAGAACATATTAGTTAAATCTGTGAATAACCAAATCTGCAAAAATCAAAGCCACAAATGTGGAGGGTCAACTGTACAGTCAATTCTCCATATTGGTGGGCTTGCCATCCATGGATTGGAGCATCCATGGATGGCCCTGCTCTGTTCTTGTCAATGGCAGTGTGTGCACATGGCCATGACAATGCAATTGTGCACATATCACACTGCCATTGACTATAATGGGACTTGACGTCCCATGATATTGGGCATCTGCAGCAGGCTGCTCTGAAACATAAGCCCCATAGATATGAAGGGCTGACTGTATTGTTTGGATATTTTAAAAAATGAGAACTACAGTAGCAAATACTGTAACCTCTGAATACATATACCCCACCTGGAAGAACCCATAATCTGGTGTTGCTGCTATTGTTTGAGCAGAGAGAGAAACCCCATTTTGCTCTGTAATTTCAGAACCAGCTGAGCATTATAAACCCCCCCTTTAAAGGGGAAGGAATATTGTATATTTATCACTGTATTGGGGAAGACTCTGGCAAACTGACCTGTGTACTTCTCCTGTCTGGGACCCAACTGTACCTGGGCACCTTCTCTTCTTTCTCCAAACTCCCTTCTGAATTATCTTTAAAACAGACTTGGAGCTCTTTCATACTACACAGTTATACCAGTTTGATTTCATTTTAATTGCCATGGCAACATCTTATGGAATCCTGGAATATGTAGTCATGAAGGAGGGAGTATTTAACATTCTCAGCCAAAGAGCTCTAGTGCCTCACTGAACTGTAAATCCCAGGATTCCACAGGATGTTGCTATGGAAGTTAAATCAGACTCACACCACTATGACTTTCTAATGTTAGAGGCCTCTAAGGTAAAGGTAAAGGTATTCCCCATTGACAAGGTTGTCAAGTCATGTCCAACCATAAGGGGCGGTGCTCATCTCCATTACTAAGCCGAAGAACCAGCGTTGTCAGAGATTATTCTGTGATCATGGGGCCAGCATGATTGCACAGAATGCTGTTTACCTTCCTACTTGCATTTGCATGCTTTCAAACTGCTAGGTTGGCAGAAGCTGGCACTAGTGACAGGAGTTCACTCCATCATGAAGCACCTGGGACTTGAACTGCCAACCTGCCGATCTTGCAATCAGCAGAGTCAGCATCTTAACCACTTGACCACTGCATCCCTCTAAAGGCCTCTAAAGCTCTCTAAAGTGAAATGCATGCTGTGCCAGCCTTACTATTAGGCAGAGATAACCACCTCAGGCAACATATTTTGTAAGGCAACAGAAAAATTATGGATGGGAGAGTTCTGAGCCATGGAACTTAGGCCCTAAGCAGACGACTAAAAAAGTCATCTTCCGGGCAGGGAAGAGGAGGGGCAGCCGCACGAGCGGCGCCCCTTCCTCTCCCCGAGGTCGCCCCCAGAAGCGCCGTCCGTCCACACGGCCGGTGCACTGGGGATGACCTCACGGCACAGCGCCCACATGCGCTGCGCCGTTTGAGTCAGGGAAAGTGCGCCCGCCGCTTTTGGGGCGCACTTTCCCTTAAATCTAAAAGGAGCGCCAATTTGGTGCTCCTTTTAGATGCGCCGCAGGAGCGCCACGGTCCGGAGGCTGAACTCCAGCGGCGCTCTGGACCAGGGCGTCTCCGACGCCCTGGTCTGCATCCCCCCTTACTTTGATCCCTTTAAACTAGCTTGCAGCCTTCAGATACAGTGGAGGATCCTGTCTAATTGCTAGTATTTAAGGAAGATTCAACTGCCAGTCCCTTCCACTTTTATACATGAAATGGAAATGGGAGTTCTATTTTATTTGTATCAGGGAGCAAAATGCCTTACCCCTGCATGGATAGCTATCCTATATTTCCAGGAATTTAATGCCTTTACATTAAGACAAAGGAGTTTATCACATTAAAAAAAAACCGATTTATACCTTCTGTTTTAAAGTTGATTACAGGATGCATTCAGGTATTATCACAGGGAAAAATTCATTGATGCCGCCACCCAACTGCATCCCACCTAAAACCCGTCTACAAGCCATGCTCAACTGGTTGGTTTGCAAAGTCGGGAGGGTTTTTTTAATGTGATAAACTCCAAAATCTGATGTCTCTCCCCACCACCATGCAGCAACTTTTGGATAGTTAACTGTCTCTGAACATAGGAGTTCTGCCTACCATGGCAAAAAAAAAAAAAAAGCATTGGCTTTTTTATCTCTATGAATTTGCCTCATTCCATTCAAAACCATATAAACTAGGGGTCATTGCCATACCTTAATGCTAGCAAATTTCATGTGCACAATAGGCTTTGTGTCTGTTTTGCCTGTTCTGAATTTACTGTCAATCACTTTCACTGGATTACCCTGAATTCCAGTTATGGAAGAGGAAAAGAAAAAATGATACACATACACATTGACAGCTATAAAAAGATAATGTGATAATATGTTGTTGTTGTGCTTCAGGTCATTTCCAATTTATGGCGACCCTAAGGTGACCCTATCACAGGGTTTACTTGGCAAGTTTCTTCAGAGAGGAGTTACTCTTGCCATCGTCTGAGGTTGAGAGAATGTGACTTACCAAGTGTAACTCAGTGGGTTTCCAGGGCTGAACAGGGATTTGAACCCTGCTCTTCAGAGTCACAGTCTAATGCTCAAACTACTACACTATACTGATTATACTCTAGTGTTATCCTGTATGGACAGTGCAGGCAGATATACCAATATACACACATCAAGCATCACATGAAGGCCAAAAATCTATTTATGTGGATTGAACAAGACAGTATTATTTGCATTTATTAATATGAGGGCATAATTCAGCCTAAGATAAAATGGTCATCTGAATTTCCATGTGAGATTTTTAGTACATTCTTAATTTTATCACTCAGATCAAATCCTTAACTTTGGCTTAATCATAACTAGAATTTTTAAAATGCCCTACACTTCCCAGGAAAGAAAGAGAGAGAGAAAGCTGAGTTGATTCATTAACTTGATATACTTCCTTCACTTTTTACCCCTTAAAAACCACACTGTTTTATTCTGTGTTGTTGTTGAATGATATGAACCTTGCAGCTGTAAAACTCATTAAGGTTAGAATATCAGCAGCCACTATGGCTTGTTCATGAGAATGTGGTGGTAGAAGTACTGACAACCTGGAAGAGGGAAGGGACTTAATACTCTGCTTGGGAGGCAAAGTCAATCTATCCAGCTCTCTTCCTTGGTTCCATTCTGCTATCCATCTTTCTTGTTATTCTAGACAATTGTCTCTTATCCTTGCTTTCTCCATTCCTCCCCTTGTCTCTTACCAGATTAGTTAGTATTTCTTTTCCTCTTTTTCTTACCTCAACATTTCCCCTATGCCTCATACCTCCCCACTGCTTGTCAACCTTTTCTTTGTCACTCATGGAGAACAATGTAGAGAGGGTCTATTACTGTGTATCATTCCACTCTCACCTACTCTGGTAACTCAAGTGAAGCAACTACAATTGCATCTGGGATCAAACTAATAAAACATACTGTTTCCATTAATATGGGGCAACAATTTACAAACTAAGTGCCCAGAAACCCTTGTGTTCCTGAGAGCTTATCATAGGTATCTCACCAAGAAGACTAATATAGCAGACAAAAGATGCTTGCCTGCCATAAAGAATCTGCCCCATAATGCAGGGCTAAGGGTATCTAGAACATGCTATCACCTGGCCTGAGAAAAGTGTTGTAAGTTTACTAAGGAAGCTCCTTAGAATAAACCTCAGGATCCCCTGAAACATACATGGATTGAGTACATGTACAGAAGGCAATTAACAGATAAACCCACAGATGTTTTAAAACTACTGATCTAAGGACTAATCCATGCCATAATATTCCAGCTTTTCTGTATGGTTGGACAGAAAGCTGGACAGTGAAGAAAGCTGATAGGAAGAGAATAAACTCTTTTGAAGTGTGGTGCTACAGGAGAGTTCTGTGGATATCATGGATTTCTAAAAAGAGCAAATCAGGCCTGAACTATTCCTAAAAGTTTGAATGACCAAACTGAGACGATCATAATTTGAACATCTAGATCAAAAAGAAGTAATAGTGCTACTCTATTCTGCTTTGGTCAGACAACATCTGGAATACAGTGCACCCTTGCTATCCCATGGGGATCCTTTCCAGATCCCCCTGTGGATAGTAAAAAATGCAGGACCTTAAGTCCCATCCTTTTCAGTGGGTGAGCGCTCCTGCTTGCACCGCCGCATGCATGCATGCCCATTGAGAAAACCGGGACTTGCCGTCCGCGGAAGCTCAAGCCGTGGATGGCAAGCCCATGATTGGTGTGGGCACACTGTACTATGTCCAGTTCTGGGCATCACAATTCAAAAGGGATATTGACAAAGTGTGTCCAGAGGAGGCCGACCAAAATGGTGAAAAGTCTGGAAACCATGCCCTATGAGGAGTAGATTAGGGAGCTGAATATGTTTAGCCTAGGGAAGAGTAGGCTAAGAGGTGACGTGATTGCCATGTTTAAATTTTTGAAGGGATATCATATTTTGAAGGGACACGCTTGTTTTCTGCTGCCCCAGAGACTAGGACATGGAGCAATGGATTCAAACAGTAGGAAAAGAGATTCCATCTAAACATTGGGAAGAACTTCCTGGTGGTAAGTGCTGTTTGACAGTAGAATGCACTGCCTCAAAGTATGGTGGAATCTCTTTCTTTGGAGGTTTTTAAACATAGGCTGAATGGCCATCTGTTGGGAGTGTTTTGATTGTGTCTTCTTGCATGGCAGGGGGTTAGATTGGATGGCCCTTGTGGTGTTTTCCAACCCTATGATTCTATGACATATCCTAATGATATGACTCATTAGAAAAAGTGATCATGCTTTGTAAAGTAGGAGGCAATAGGAAAAGAGGAAGGATGCATTACAGATGGATAGACTCAGTGAAGGAAGCACTGTCTGGAGTTTATAGCACCTGAGCAGGACTGTTGGCAGGGTGTCTTAGAGGACTCTCATTCATAGAATTGCCATAAATTGAAGCCAACATGATGGCAATTAAAAATGACAAGGACTGGCCCTTTACTTCTAAGGCCTGGCATGCATTTCTAAACTTTGCTTCTACCCATTTGCTTGCTCATTTTGTCATGAAGGTAATGAGCCAAAAAATTATTGAGGAATGCTTTTTTCTTATTTAAAGTAATACAGTGACACAACAACCACCCCATCCATTGGGAATGTTCTGATGAGCTCACACAATGGTGTACTCTTTATGCTGGCTCAACCTACATTTCAAAGAGTTTTGTAAACTGATTTTAATCACCAGAAACCAGTCACCAGGTCAAAACAATGTATTTTGTGGTGGCCTTCACTGTGTGTTACCAAGCCTAACTACAAGGAGCTGCACCTTGTGAGATTTTGTCCTATCTGTTTCAGAGTGGCCAGAAGGCACACCTGATCACATTGAGACTCCTTCCCCATAGCACAAGAGAAGCCTCCCATGTACTGAATGGAGCTGCCAGGAGTAACTGAAAGCATCAGAGGCTTCAGAGAAGCAACCCCACACCCAAATGCAAAAACCATCTCAGTGTAAAGGAATGAGAATGGGGCTTTTTAATATTCCTTGGTATAAAAAGGGGAAAAAACCAAACATCTACATCTGGGAGAATGACCTTGCTGGGCTGTTTCTGCTTATAAAAGTTGTTTAATTTTTATTGTATTCAAAAATGGCTCTTGCACCCACAGTCCATTCTACCATGTCTGAACTGTACCACCCCATTCTGCTCCACATGGAGGCCAGGTTCAGAGGCACTGATTCCCAATGAACTATATCCACATGTGGGAGCACACAATCAATCGCCCGCTCAGAAATTCTGCCTCCCCTCTGTGTGTCTTTCTCCCTAGTTTCTATGCATTTTCAAAATCTGCCATCTGTTTCTTTTTCCTAGGGACATGAAATCAATTAAGGAAGAACATAGCTGTTTTTAGAGAACAGGAAATAACAATTACTAGTTGGAAAAGGCAATATTTTGTTGCATTCATTGCTTCTGGACGTTAAGCTATATTAAGGGCAAAGGCATTATTTTAATGCACCAAGAATGAATAAGTGGGGAGAGCTTAGGAAAGTTACTTTTTGGAACTGTACTTCAAACAATCCCTGAGGTAGTATGGGCCAGGGCTGGTTGGGGATTGTGGGAGTTGTCATCTATAAAAGTTATTTTACCATGCTTTATGAGAGTTATCCCCTTCTGTCTTAGCCAACTTCTCATGCCCTCTTAATCCTTCCTGACATCAAGCTGCAACATTTGATAAATAAAAGTTTAAAGAATGTTGAACTATTCATTGTGCAAAGTGTACTTTATGGAATTAATTAGTAGAGGATGTGGGTGTAGCTACTATCGTAAATGTTTTTTTAAAACGTTTATAGAGTTAGACATATTCACAGAGATCTATTGTTGAGCCTTAATTATGATAGTCATATAGAACATCTGTGTAAAGAAGCAGCATAAAATCATAAAGAGGCAATAAAGAATCTTAAATGAGGGGGGCTTGTAGGTGCTCTAGTCTAGTCTTCTCCTTGGTTCAGGAAATCAAGAGTATCCCCAATGGTGGATGCCCAGACTCTGCTTGGAGACCTCCAGTGAGAAGAAACCAGCCTATCCTTTTAGGGAACTGATTTCAGTGGCAAGTTGCTCTTACAATTAATAACTTCCCCCTAATGTTCAAACAAATCTACTCAGGGCAGCACAAATCAAGTCTTTGCCATTTGAAGAGTGCTACCATGTCCCCTCTCAATAATTTCTTCTCCAAGCTAAACATAATCAGTTCCTGCCATGTCTCCATATATGACTTCAACATCTTCACTGCTCTTCTCTCAACCTGGTCAGATTTGTCTATATGTATATTTATGTGCCTTCAAGTCGTCTGTCAATTTATGGCAACTCCATGAATTTCATAGAGTTTTCTTATGCAAGTAATACTCAAATGTGGCTCATGAGCATGTTTGTGTGTGTGCCTTCAATTTGTCAGTTACATCCTTTTAAAAGTGTGCTGCATAGAATTGGGCACAGTACATCAGATGTCATCTGTCAGACTAGTGTAAAATAGAGTAAAATAATTATTTCTTATTATTAATAAGCTGGGGGTCTCTTAATGCAGTCTAATAATGCATTTGTCTTTTTTGCAGTTATTTTGCTTTCCTGACTCATGTTCAACTTGCAATCAAGTACAACTCCTATATATATATATATATATATATATATATATATATATATATATATATATGGCATCTAATACAGGGATTTCCCCAATATGTTTCTCAATATTAGATGCTGAGGACAAAGAACAGAAGTCTGTCAACTTCATGCTCTCCTTGTGAATATCCAGAGCTGGTGGAGTTGGAATGCTGATCAGAGTAAATGGACACTGATTGGATCCTGGCCTTTAGCTATTAAAGTTATTGCAGGTAATTCCTTCCAGGATCTGTGTTTTTTCCTCTCACAAGCTATACAGTACTTGAAAAATATTGCTCTGATGTAAATTACAAATATCTACATGAGAGGTTTCATATTATTTCAGCAATTTGTGTCAAATAAAGGGATTCACCAAATTTTGGCAGTAGCTCAGTGACTTTCCATACAAATTGGCCCAGGTCCAATTCCTTGCATCTCCAAGTATAGTGAAATTCAACCTGTCTTAAACCT